ACCCGTTGAAACCACCTCTTGGCAAGCCCTTCCCATCTGTGCTTAATGGGCAGATGTTTATTTAGTTTACTCAGCACATTTTTCGAAGTGAAAAGGCATGAGTGACATTCTAGCTGTTTATCCAACCAACTGGAGAAGAAACTGGATAAGCTCTTAGTCAAAGCTGAAATGCCTGCATACTTTTGGCCAAATGCCTGTATAATTTTGGCCAATTACCTGTTTATCCTAGGTTACAGCCACAGTTCATTCAACCGTTGCTCCAAAAGCTCTCAAGTTACACAACTGCAAGAAACAGAATGGGGAAGGAAGCAACTGAATCACCTAGAAACCTGCAAAATCAGCTAAACTTAAGGGAAAAACCAACCACCAAACATTCTTCTTGGATGAGCAGGAAACCTTAAGAGTTAGCTTCAGAACACCAGACAAGTCTGTTTGATGAGCCAATGTAATGGAAAGTCATATCAGAGGCCACAGCTTGAAGAAAAAATAGTGAGGGCTTTTGAAACTATTTGAGAAGTTGATGATTCTGCAAAAATTCCATGATTTTTTTTTTTTCTCCCATATGAGAGGCTCTAAAGAAGAAAATGGCCACGTACACAGGCAGTGTGATAACATTTCCCCTATATTAGGATAAAAGAACTTAAAAGATTAAACTGGGGGGAGGGTAGAAAAGAGCTTCAGTATCATCATGATTTACAAATGTGGATATCAAATGACAGCCCAATTTAGGTACAACCTTTCAAGAGAAAGGTTTAAAATCTTAAAATTCTATCATCCAAGTCAGGATAGAATCAGCTGGCCTAGCTCCTTCCTCCCACTGAAGGAAAACTGTCCTTCTGTGTCCCTCATCCAAGTTTTCTTTCTTAATTTTAATTTATTTTTACACAGCTGGCTATGAAAACTCCACCTCCTATCTACAACGCCGAGGGTTTTATTCCAAACTTCTTAAACCACTGATAGTACAGCAAAGTTAGCTTTTCTCTTGTCTGCACACTTGCAGACAAACGTCAGTAGGAGAGCACAATAACTCTGTTACACAGGCAGGCCATCCGCCTTGTTATCTCCCATAACTCAAGAGCAGATAAATCAGAACAAAACCAGAAGGGGAATTTTATAAAGCTCTATTGTGTAACATCCTTTTTTAGTGTCCCGGAAGCTGTGATCAGAGTCTTCAAGAAAATCTGAGTATGTGACTGGAAATCAGTAAAGAAACAGCTGATTTGAGAAATACTACTGTTTCAGTCCTGCTACTTCTTACAAACAATACAGGATTAGTCACTAGGCCAACACCTGTAGCTCTTGCCCAAGACATCAGAGCTATACTGAGGTTAGAAAAACACAATTGGAACCAAACTACTAGGAAAAGGAACTGATCTACAGGAAAAAACGCCTCATCAAACAATCTTCAGACACAAAATGAACACAGTGGTTGTTGTACAAAACAGAAGTTAACTGCCCTAACAGCTGACCAGCGTAACAAGAAGTCCTACATTTCTCAGGACATTCCAGGCAGCCATTCAGCTCCCTAAAACCCAGGAAAAAAAAACAAGCGATCAGCCTTTTGCTGAGCTAATAAGATGAAGTGGCTCACCATGTAGCCAGACAAGTATGATTCAGAGCATGAGGCAGTAGACTGCTTAGATACAGGGAAGGAAGCATTGTTCCACTACCATGAAGTTACATCAGCCACCTTTTGTAGAACCACATCACTTACAGAGACTCCTCGAAAAGGACTTCCTTTTTGTTACAATACTCAAATAGAAATGATTTAAAGAAAAATATTTGTTCATATTACCTCTTATTCTCCTACCTATTTTTAAAGCATTTAGAAAACATAAGTTGCATCGAGGCTCCACCCTGAATTTCTTAACACAGTGAAGAACCACAGCAATTATTATACTGCAGTCTTCCTGCTAACACACTGTAAAACACCAGAAGTGGGACAAATAAGAGTAAAGTAACATTGATTACCTGTCTTCTGAAGCCTTACTACTGAGAACAGTCCACAAGCCAGGGGTAAACAATTGCCACCCTGCAGCCAAGTCCCAGGTTGTGTTCAAGTCAAGGACAAGTGCCCATCACCTCTCACCTGAGGTAATTCACTTCTACACCAATGTATGTAACATGCTGCCATTCTGCAACAGATCTCAGTTCAAACTGTGGTACATGGACTTAACAAGCTTTAAATCCACAGCCAGTATCACACATCCTTCAGAAGACAAAAAACACCCCTACAAAAAAATCCCCAGAGAAATGGATGTTTCAGCCTACCTTGCTGATGTGCTAATGAGCATCAGAGGCACTGAAAAGACCACTGGGAGGCCAGAAGCCTAAGCCAATGTTAGGTTACAAGCCCAAAAGCTCTGTATGCAGGCTAAAGCCCCAGTGAGGCTTTAGCTCAGACTAGCCTGGGCTCTTGGCTCTATTGTCTTTGCAATCAGCACTCTGAAGGAGTGCATGTACTTGATGTATGTTATTGTATATCCTTTTTTGGCACTTGTGCTGCTCTGTCTGACTCCTTCAGTCAGCTGGCTCATCTTAATAAACTGAGAAGGGAAATAAATAGGAAAGAAAAGCATAAAAAAATAACTTTTTAAATAATTGTAGTGACATGGAGTAGAACATTCGGAAGTCAGCCAAGGATGGGAGGCAAGGAAGATCAGTATGTCACATCTCTCTTTTTGCTGCAGCACGCTTTCGCCATCTTTGCCAATGCTTCCTTTCAGAAAAAAAAAAATCACTCCTCTCAAAAGGAAAACAAACAAAACACTCCATTGGATAAGATCTACTTTATTTACTGCATTATAAGATAAGGAGATACTTACAGTGCAATTTCAGAATCACACTGGAACACGGGAAACTACTAAGTTAAAATCCAAGCTAGGAAAAAAAGTACATTTAAGCTAATCAAACTATTTGACAGGCATTAAATCTCCCAGGGCAGAGGTCCACCAATTGTCACATTACAATGTCAGACAACCACACTGTCACTAATGGCAACAGTGCATCGAATCTGCATTGAAGCAGAGAATTAAATAAGAAAACCAAACAATTTTCTAAGTGAATTCCCAGAATTACATTCTGGCTGTAACACATTGGATTATTTTGCAAAAAACTGATCTGTTTTCTGTTCTTCCAGACCAGCAATTACTTATTTTTGAATTATACTTTCGTAATTATCAGAGCAAAGACAGCCTGCATTTTAAATGCTTTTACTAATCATCTAGTTATTAATAAATTAACAAAAAGCACCACTTATTTCAAATCTTTCTAAACTCATTCATAATAGAATCTTGTTTCACTTTCCAGACTGTGATTAATAAAATTTCTTTCTATTCATCCTAAAAATTATACTCTTCCAACTGTACTACAATGCAATAAAAAAAGGCAGAAATTAATCATACCACACAGCTTTGGGTTGGTTGAATACAAGAATGGGGAGAAGTTTTCTTTCCAGGTAAAGCCCTAGAAAGATACTAGAAATACAGTAGAAGTAAGGGAACACCTGTATTCACCGCCAGCCCTCCAAGCAGACAACGATGGCAGGCTGCACACAAGGCTCAACTCTAAAAATGACATAAAGCTTGACGATATCAACAAAATCTATGAACGGTTTCTATTTCTCAGCAGAAAATTATTATTGTTGTTTAATCCAAACCTACCGAACTCAATCTTGAACAGGCTTAGAATCAAGGTGCAAGCAACCAAGAGATTACATTCAATATAAACACAATCAGTAGAGTCAAAGGTTAAGTTGCAAGTTGGTAAACTTTGCTCTTTGTTATTAATGGACTACTCTGCTTCTTACTGTATAGGCTGGTTTGGATTAGACTTCCAGTTCAGGTGAGTGTGCAGCACCCTGAACTGCAGCAGCAGCAGGATTCTCTAAGTGAATTCAGAAAGCAGTTTATCCTTGTAACATTCTAGTCAGGCTACTGGAATTAGAGTTGCTCATTTTCAAATTATTTTTCCACTTTCAGTGCCTGACTTGCAAGAATCACTATCAACTGTTAATATAACTAAATAAAAGGTAAAGAGATTAAACAAGGAAATCAAGTCAGTTTAGTTTCCTATTCGTGCCCAAGCCCTACTTCTCACACTGGTGGGAGGTACTGGCAGTACAGTTACTGTACACAACAGTCGTTCAGCATCATGCACAAAAGATAGTTTACTTACCAGCTTCCTGTTCTTCCTCATAATTCAAGACACGACACTAGATCTCTAACTTCTCCACGATGCACGCTCCGTTGCAGCAAACCGCTACTCACCATATTGGTCATCACAAATAGAAGACCATTGTTTTCTAATCCTCTCCCTCCCCTAATCCTCACACTCTTTAAAACACCACACCAACTTCTGCAGACTGCCTGCTTGCAGCAGCTCTAACCAAACCACACAAACCAAAACTCTCACACATGACCATTTCTGAAGTGAAAACTAAGAAGAATACAATTTAACTGGAGACGAGTCAACAGCTGGGCCTAGATGAGAGCTGTGCAGCAACCAGCAGGAAAGAAGCATTGTTACAGAAAATGGGGGCCAGAAGCAGGGAATGAGAGCCAGCTTTGTTCACAGCCGGTAGCCGAAGTGCCTATCAGTCAGCAAAAGCATTCTTAGCACGGCTGCATCAAAGCTTCCTGCAGTCGGTCCGCACGTGACAGGCCCGCACAGCAGCGCAGGCCGCGGCCATCCCGCATAGCAGCAGTGCCCCAGGGTCAGCGCTTCCAGGCATCTCAGCAATCTGGGAATTGCCTTGGCTTATCGCTTGGAAGCAACATAATTACACTGCTTGCAGGGCCGGGGCAGCAGTTCGTAGCCATGGTGTTTAGTCAGCTACAGGTTATGTACAGTTTTTAAAAATACAGGAACATTAAAACATGAGAAAATCCACTTTTTCAATAGAGAAAAAGTGAAGCTACCTTTTTTTCCCTGACGCTGTCTAAGGTGTTCTCTTGAGTAACTGAGTTTTGTGGGTTTGTTTTTTTGTTTTTGTTTTTTTTTAAGGTTAGTGGACCAAAGTGCTGAACATTCTACAGAAAACTGACTTTTCCCCACACAGAAAATGAGCTACACCTACTGAATAAAAGGCCCCATTTCAGAGTAAGAAGGTAGAGAAAGTAAAACCTGGATTCATGCTACATTGGTGGCTCCCTATGAGAAGTGGTATCTTCTACAAAAAAAAAAGGAAATACCCACTTCCAGCTGCTCAGAAGCTGAGCATCTCACCTCCAGCAAAGCAAGTCAGCCAGCAGTTCTACTCAAAGATCTTCCAGCAACAAAGGAGGAATGGGGGTGGGGGAGGCAGCGGAACAGGACAGTGGATTCCATCAGCCTGCCTACCTCACAAGCCTCAGCAGCACTGCAGTAGATTCCAGCTGCTCCAACTCGCTGCTCGACCCACGTGTTTCTCTCCCATCACACACCAATCTGATGACAGAGCTCACCCAACAGGTATCAGCATTTGCAACTTGCCACATGACATTTACTTCACCCTGTCCCATGGAGCCCTTTTGCTATACAGATGACTACTGCCCGCTTACTTCACCACTGAATTGTCATCCACTAACAAGTGTACTTCTGCTAGTTCTAGGAGCTCTAGGAGACTTCATGCTCTTTAAGTACAGAGGAGAAAGAGGGAAATAACATCACTGAAAAATATAAAAAGTACCACAAAAATTCTCAGTTTGATCATCGAAAAGGAAAAAAAAGCCCATACAGGACTTTCCTGATTGCCTCCTTTCATTTAAAGTATTTAAAGCTATTTAAGTTATAACTGAAAGAGGGAATTAATGTAATTAGAAGTTCAGTCTAGCAAAATGCATGCTGCAAAATTTCCCATTGAAGTTTAAGAGACAGTTCCTTTCTGCTTCCATTTAAAACTGGAATGTACACACAGTATGACACAGGACAGAAATCCCACCCTGATGTGAATGGAGCTGATGCACAGCCAGAGATAGCCTCACATGAGCACAACCATTTAGAAGATATCCTCATAATGCTGGGAGGGAAAAGGCAGGAGCCAGAACACTGGCCATTCTGCAGGAACAATGACCTCAGCAACTGTCAGCAGTGCCTTCTTACCATTGTTCACTCTTTCCGAGATAAAGAGGCATTTACAGATAGCAGACAATGCAACAAGTAAGAAAACCTTCCACTTTTGTACCGCTTTATTTCAGATGAATCATTTCAAACTTACATAACGTCAAAGGCAAAGAGATTTCTTCCATTTTGAAAGACAGAAGTGTACAGTTTGGTCTACATCAACCTGCATCCCAAAATTACTCCTGACAGGCAGCTATCAGACAAGGATTACCAGACAAGAATTACGAGATTTCATTCAGAACAAGGCACGTATTACTCCATCTTGTATCTCAGATGGCAAACATAACCAAACAACACCCTGGAATACAGAACGGATTCCTGGGAACAGCATATCAGCAGAGAAACTGGGACTGCCCATAGAATTAACCTGGTAAGAAGTAGTAGAAGGAAAAGGGATTCAGTAGAGACCCACATGCATTTTCCATTCCTATTCGCAATTCTTCTCACAACACATACACCCACACCTCAGCTCCTCTCCAGAAACAGGAGGGCAGGAAAGACATTTGAGGAAGCAAATAAATATGGGCAAAGGAAAGCCACATTCCTGACACTTGGTTACAAACACAGCTGTTATCAGACAGGGTTTGAGGGAGCCTGCTGAGGTGGTGCTCTCACATGGAAGGGAAAGGGAGAGCATGAAAGCAAGGACTTCTGAGCAACCCCCTTCATGCTTCAGCCACAGGGAGAAGGGCAAAAGGAGTTTCCATATGCCAGCATATGTCTTTCCTACATTTCACAGAAATTGTTACCACCTTTTGAACTAATTTCAGCTATCAGCCCGTGCACAACTGCGAGCACTGAGCTCAGTGCCTCCTGTCCCTGAAACAGCACACACAGTACTCTCAGAAAGGTGAGTCCTTCATTTACCTGCATCCCATCTAGGTTGTACCTAAACTACCAGTTTCACCAACACAACCAATGACCTCGGGTTACACTTGCTTTGTTGTCTATCTTCACAATACTATAAAAAAAATAGAGAGAGGAATTTAAGAGGAAGCAGCTTGATAAATCAACACCATACTAAAGATACTGCTCTTTCCCACTTATCTGGGAATAATTTCAGATAAATATTATAATTGAGGAGGACCATCCAAACCAGTGTGTGTGATTATTCCCATTATTTCCAGACACAGTACAAGAAAGGATAAGCAGTAGATGCATTTCAGCATATTTTATTCTCTTTCTGGACTTAACTGTAGTCTCAGGAGGCCAATGTCAGAGATTATTTCTCATCTGAACTTTTGCACACTTTTCATTTTAAGTGCTTGGAGTATGTTCTCAAGTACTTCCAGTTTGCTTTGGAGTCTTACTATCTAGAATTTTGTAGAACTTTGTCCTTCAAACTATTCTTTATTTGCTTTAACATTTAAATTTGTTATGCTTTTCTTTCTTCTCCCCATTCATTGCCTTCAGTTCTATTACAAAAAGCAGTAATAAGCAGAGGAGCTAGCATTACAGATACAAAAAACAATACAGCTGCAACTTCAGCAACACACCTAAATTCCTATTATGGTTCTTTCAGAGGTTGGGTCTGATTGTATCATCTTTAGATTTAGAATTGCAATCTTCAAATACAGCTATTCAGTTAGTCTTGATGAGACAATTCTGTGAGTAAGCCTTAGTCATAGAAGACTAGGTTTCACAGTAGTCACTTGGAGAGTCCAGACACCTCAGCTTTTGTGCTACGATTCTCACTGCTGGGGAAGGCAGAGGCAAGAAAGGAGTGAAAAGCCTTTCTGTTTCACAGAGGTCTATGAAATACCAAATGCTCAGCCAAGACACTGTATCAGAAGAACCTGGTGGCAGGCAGAACTTTGAAATGACAGTTCCTTGGTTATTAACTTCAGAAGGCAACACTGCATATGTCATCTTTTCAGATGACCAAAGATCTGCTGCTGACCATAGTGTAAACAAAACTCTGATAAACAGAGAATTCTGATATGAAGTCAAGAAGCTTCCAAAATACCCCCCAACAAGACAATATTCCATGCTCCAGTCAAGCAATACTTATTTTTCAGTCTCACCATGTAAAACATAGAACGAGAGTGAGTAGGTGCAAGATGTGCATGACAAGATTTTCAGTAACACACAGACAAGGTACTTTTACAGATAGATCCCCTATCCATAGCAGCTCTAGAGGACATTCACCCTCTAACCACCACCAACACAACTACAATAGCACAACTAGGAAATGTACATGGCCATTCTACAGACAGCATCACATCCACTTCTGATAGAACGTATTCTCAGTTCAAGTCATTACTATGCTGTTTATAAACAGTGGACTTTTCCCGTTTCCTTTAGCTAAATACTCCCCTTTTGGGGAGCATTAATCTAGTCCACATCATTCAAAGGAGTCAAACATAATAAACAAAGTGAAGCCCACTTAGTTTTCTCATGAGATAACCTTCCAGGAATTTCCTTTCCAACATAGCCATGCTATTAACAGAGGGGCTTAACCTGTAAATGATGGCCAATCACTTTCCACAACTCAGTTTCAATACCAAAGGAAACACAAGTTCTTTTGTCAGAAAGCCATGCCTCCAAGCTTGGCTTCAAGATCTTAATACCCACTAGAAATACTATTTCAAGGAATCCAGATTTACGGGTTCACCAGGAAAACTACTTTACATGGGGTTATTCAAAACAATGTTGTTCCAAATAACACACAGGAACAAGGCTGGGTCAAGCGAGATCCACTTTTTCCAAGAAGCATCCCGTGCTGACAGAGTTAACATGATCTGGCCTTCTCCCAGATATAATTGTAGGGAAGCCAGCCATCAAAAATGAACACAAATTACAGATTTATTACAAGCCTTGGAAATTGTTCAGAGAAACAATATTTGCCATACCTAGCCCCAGGTATTGTTCTGATACCATATTAACTACCCATCACTAATTGTTTGATAACACATTGTCAAGTAACACCTTTTTAGAGTTACTTCTCCTTGAGTTCTGCAGTTCTGGTAATTTGAACTGTTACACTCTGTTACAGACAACTTACCCTTACACAGCATGACTGAAGACAATCATGTTTCCAATATTTATTCACTGAAGATGACCACACTTACTTCAATTTTGCCACAGGGAACTCATCCACTGCAAGTCCCATTCTACAGATTCATTTATTAAAAAAGCCTGCTAAAAGACCAAATCAAGTATTAATTTGAAGTAATTCTGTATTAGTTCCCACCGCTGCTGCCATTATCCTACTGTGCAAATACCCACTCTGAAAAATAAACATTCACGTGGAAAATGAACTTAAATCCTTATGTATTTTTAAATGCAATTTGGACAATCGTATCCTCTCTGGAGTGGTAGAGCACACTAATTTCCACTCAGTGCAAGTAAAGAAATGGAAGCATTTGTTAAATGATCGCTGACCTAGTAGAGCAGAGGGAAAGACACTGCTATGGACCCCATCCAAACCAGGCAAGAACAGGCTATGCAGCCCCAGGGAACTGTGAGTTGAAAACTAATTACTGCCTGGTTGAGGAGGGGCAAAGGGAAATATTTTGCAAGGAAGCCTCTAAGAAAGATCTTAAATGCAAACAGGCAATGGAGAGAAACACAGAGAAACTACAGATCAATGAAGCTGCCTGCTTTTGCATAATTCCTATTTTTAGGAAGTCAGCGTTTAATAGATTTAGTTAGGTGGGACAGACAAGACTGAGTAGTACCAAGTTCTGTTACTGCTTTTCTGCTACAGAAAGCTAACTAAGAAAACACATTATAGCAAAGTATCCAGGCCAACATGGGTAATAGCAGCCTTGCTCACCTCTCATAAGAAGGTGAACTCCTACCACAATGCTTCCTAGTGCTACCATGTTACTGAATTTAGGCTACCTTCCCCCACCACAAAAGGACAGAAACATCTGTTTGTAACAGATTAGGAAACAAGAATCTTGTTAGAGATTACTAAATACCCTTAAGAATATCAATACTTCTGAAAACATAATGTCAACTCAATTTCTTAGCACCTACATTGTGCCTAATGCCTGTAAATATATGTAAACTAAAAAATTCTCAATGGGTGAAGGCTAGAAACAACTCTGAAGAGTTACTGAAGATCCCACAGAGTTACAAATAGCAGGTGAGAGCAAAGCACCCAGTCCTGCAGGCTTGCTTGTAGCCTACGAGTTCCCCAAGGGTATTCTAGGCAAGAAAAATCTATAGATAACAGAAGCAGACATTTTCCCCAGCCAAGTCTCTACCCCATGACCTTGGCAGAGCTCACTGCTCCCCTGGATCCACAAGATTCAAACTGGATCTGCCAGCATTCAAATTAATGCTTTCTTCATTTTCTCAGCACAACTCCTTGAAGCAAGAACATCCCCATGTTTGTGAACACAGAGCGCATATTTGAACAATATGCCCCTAAAATAGCATAATTATAAGACAAGACAATGTTTTCAAGACATTTTGGACTCAACATACATAAATGCACAGAACCACAGAATTCATTTTGAGACTTCCCCGTGGCTATTTGCTTAATCAGTACGTTCACTGAAGAAGTCATTAGCAATATTATTTGCCTGAGAAAACATTGAACATAGCTTGATACTAATTTTTGCTGCATTTATACTATGACCAGGAAAAATTCAAGAGATACAAATGACTGATGTCTTTCTTAACCAGAGGGTAGCTTGCTGTACAGATTACATAACTTCAAACATCCTCTAAAGTAAAAAATAAGCCTTTGATTCAAATACCACCAATTAACTCAAACAGGCATCTAGAGTTTGACTCGCTGTTAACAAACTGAACATGGAGACCTCAACTTCTTACATTTAGACGTGTACAGCTTAGCAGCCTTCACACTGACCGACCAGATGTGCTCAGTGCACGCCTCCCAGTGCACCACACATCACCTTTCCTGTCAGTTCTAGAGCAGGGGAGAACAAAACAGAAGAGAAAATCCTACTTCATGCTGCCAGCTGATTGGTATGGCCGGTAGCACAGCAGGCAGTCAAGTGCTTGTTCTGAACATCACTGACTGACAGAAACTGGTTTTGGATGAGTGTTTTGAAGCCTTTTTTCACAATGACATAAGCCTTGTATCTATTCTCACAGTATGCAACAGCACAATGTGTGCCTTGACATACCTGAGAAGCACAACAAACCATTTCTAGTTGTCTTCCTCGATGCAAGGATTAGTTAGCTGCTCACTGATAAGGTTTTACCGATTTTCCATCCTATAAAGATAAAATCAGCTCCCAGGCACAGTCAGATCTCAATCTCTCTTTACATTAATCTTTGTCCTATGCATTGAACTAGAAGCAAACTCCATACATACTTCACAACAACACACAGACTCGTAGAGCTCTGAGCTTCTCTCATGCAGCTGACACTGGAAAAAAACACCTCAATTACCATTCAGTAGCTGCAGTTGCCTATCACCATAATTGCATGAATTTAAGTTTTAAAAGTTCTGGGTAATCTTTTCTGAAAACAATATATAAATTGAAGTAATTTCTTAGGTCCATGCACAACCTAAAGAACAATATCAAAATTAAATGTTTCAGGATTGTTTCCAGCAAGTAGAAGATAATTTCTGATGTTAAATTCACTCAGCTTATTTCTGGTACTTCATGTTACTTCTTCACATGCATTTTCTACTTTATTGTTATGCTTGAAGAATCTCACCAACATTGAGAGAACTGATCTAACGTTCTAGATATAAACGTTCGAGTGATATAAAGGTCTCAAAGCGAAGAACAAAACACTGTTACAAACCCTGTATCATAGACTTACACATAGTATAAAGCACACTTGAAAAGCCGGTGCATACAGCCTCTACAAAGAATGAAGTCATTAGCGTCTCTGAATGTGATTCTGGGTAGAGTACTAAGCTATGTTTATGAAAACCATAAGAGGAACCAAGGAGTCCTAGCAATCTGCAAGTATTGAACTGTTACTGTGACCCATTTCTCTACTTCTCATTGGAGCAGTAACAGATACTTGCCTGGAGCTGGAGAGGCAGCTAGAACAAAAATCCAATTAATTACAGGACTGAGGTGAAGGGAAGGGAAATATTCTCTGCACGTACATTTAAAACTAGAATGAAGTCAAGAACTCAGGTTCAAAATACAAAAGAAGTCGAGGAATTAAAGATTCTTCTCCTTACATTTACTACTAAGGAACTTCTCCCTTCTTTTTAAAATCCAGTGCAGACTGCATATGGACCCTCAGCTTAAAGGTGGAGAGCTTTACATCTCGTTACTAATACCCTGACACAGCCATTCCCACAGCATCCATTAGTATTGTTCAAGACTACATTAGAAGAGATTAGGCCCTCAGTGTTTCACAATCACGGCCACCGCTAGATTAGGCTGCAAGCAAGATTCCATTTGTCCCACCATTTTGTGTTGTACACTACCAACAGCTACAGCAAACACTGAAAACCTTCGTGAAGCACATTCTTACACAGCATAGCTGTGAAAAAGTCAAGCAACCAAAAGTGAGCGGGAGCAGAGGGCAGCAGGAACTGCTGATAACGGGGTGTAACACAGCAATGCCAGCCAACATTCCCACACGTACAAATCAAGAATTATTGAGCTAATAAAAAAAGTTGTTTTAGTTCTCCTCTGGTCAAGCGTGCCAAGATAAACACGAGCACGGACACAGATGTGGGCATGGACACAAACCCTCAGAAGCTTGCAAGTATGTTAAAGAAAACCTCTGTTAAGAGATAAACATTCACACCCTTTGTTTTAATGCACTACACCCCTTAAAATGAGAAACTGGATACCGCATCCAGAGGGGTGACAGACGGAAACAAGACCTGAAACTTAACACAGGAGTCCTCCAATATTCTCGTATTTCTGAAATATTTATCATCTCTCCCTCATCTTCTCCATAACTATTAAAGCTATAATCAGGGGCCCAGGAATTATTAGCTGAAGTAGAATTACACTGCCTACATTCTGACAGGAAACTTTGGCAAGGAAATTCATGTGAACTGTATAGGTAAGAGTCAAGTCTGGGACAACGTTATGTGACAAATTAGGAGCAAAAAGACAGGCAATAATCTTCGACAGGAGACCATTACAGGCTGCAAGATCTTACTTGACAAGAAAAGGTCTGAAAATAAACCAGTGAAGAGTTACAGCAGAAGCAGACTATTTTGCAACACTCTTAAATTAAGATAACTTTCAGTGTAATTAGTTCGGCTGCTATCATAAACATGCACAAGGGCTCACAGTGCCAATTTAATGCCAAAGACCTGGAAGAAGTGTCAGGTGACTGCTAAGGGAAGAGGCAACGCTCAGTTTTAATGCATGCACACCAGTCCAAAAACAAAAGAGGTAACACCTGCGTATTTTATAAGTTTAGAATGTTTGGAGTTCCTTTTGTTTTCAACTTCCTAAGACACTGCACGCATGCGAGGAATGTTATTTTTCCACAACGTGGAAGCTTGCTATACTTCAAGAGAAGATTTTGTCCTACAGGTGGAAACTCAGCACCAGTTTTACATGAGAGCACAGCATGCAACATTTCAGCCAGTGCAGTTTCCCACAGTTCCTCGCACAGCAGAATTCCAACACAAGCTTACTAATTTTAGGGACAAACAATGCTTACTTTCACCGTCGTGCTTTCTGTTAATCTGAATGTACTTAAACAAGGTAAAAATAAGTCCTACCCATCCGTACAGCTGTGTGACAGCACCAGTTTGGAACAATTACCAGCAGAACAAATTACCTCGCTGACTGCATGCATTTACCGCTGATATTTCTGTGTACACACCGGTTAATATGTAGTAAGAAATCTCTGATGCGTACTTCGAAACAGGTACGCGACCGACTAAGCCGCCACGGGCGCTTCAGCCTCGCCGCCCGCCCAGCGCCGGGTGCCGGGCTCATCCCGAGGGGCCGCAGCCCGGCCGGCCGCCCGGTGCAGCGGGGCGCTCCCAGCCCCAAGGCCGCGGCGGGGCGGGCCGTGCCGCAGGGCGCGTTCCAGCAGGTGACATCAGACCGAAACCGCGGAGTTTCACCGTGAGCAGAGCAAACATCGCAGCGCCGGGACCGGCGGCGGCACGCGCGCGCTCGGAACTCGGCACGCCGAAGCCACGGCGGCCGCTCGGGACTCGCAGCCGAACGGCGGCTCCAAATTCAAACCCGAACCCGATCCCGAGCGCCCCGCAATCGCGGGCGGAGCGGCGGCAACCTGTTGGGCGCCGTTCCGGCCCTGCCCCGGGGCCGCGCGGCGTTACTCACGGCGGAGGCGGGCGGCACCCGCGCACCTGTACGGCACCGCCAGCTGCGGCCTGCCGGGCCGCCCGCGTGTCAGCGGCCCCCGCCCGACCCGGCGGGACGAGGAATCCCGCGCTACCGGCCTCTCCCGGTTAAGCCGTCCCCGGCCGCTCCCCGCGCCGCCCGCCCCCAACAAAGGGACGCGGCCTTTCCCGGCGACTCCGCCCCGCCCGCGTGGGGCCCCTCTGCGGGGCCCGGCCCATCTCAGCGCGGGGCGTCCCGCCGCCGCCCGTCCAACAGGTGGGGAGCGGCCCCGGCCGGGGGCTCCGAGCCGCCCTCGAGCTCGCTCGGCTCGGCCGGGACGCGGGACCGCGCCGGGCGCCCGCGAGGCCCCGTCCCAACTCGGCTCCGCGCCCCGGCCGGGCTGCCCGCACCTCGGGGCGGGCGGACGGAGCCTCGCAGCCGCCGGGACGCCGCCGCCGCGCGAGGAGCGGCCGTGAGGAGGAAGAGGAGGAAGAGGAGGAGGCGGCAGCGGGGCCGCCCGCAGCGCTCCGCACCGCGATTAACGCGGGCAGCGCTCCGCCGCCGGGCTGAGCCTTACCTTGCTGGACGCGGCCCTGGCAGACATTTTGTTTCCTTCTTCCCCCAGAGCAGGGAGACCGCGCCTGCAAGCACCGAGCGGGGAGAAGGGAACCCCGCCGCCTCCCGCGCCTCACGCAGCCGCCCAAATAAACATCCCACGGGCAGGGAGGAGGAGGAGGAGGAAGAGGAGGGGAGAGGCGGGCGGCGAGGGAAGGGGCGGGGAAAGAGGGAGGAGGAAGGAAGGAAGGAAGGAAGGGGAAAGAGAGCGGAGCCCCAACTTTGAGGAAAGTGCCGGCTCTTTCCCGCCCGGGCCGGGGCTGCGAAGGGCGGCGGTCGCTGCCCGATCCGCGATCCCCGCGCTCCGCTCCGCTCCCCGCACGGCGCCGCGTGCCGCGCAGCCCCGGACGCTCCCGACTGCGGCGCGGCCCATCCCGCCGCGCGGGGGAGCGCCCCGCCCCGCCCGGACCCCCGTCCCGCCGCCGGCCCCGGCTTTCCCCGAGCGGCGGCACCTGCGGGGCCGGCATCTCCTCGGCTCCCTGCCCCGCCGCCCGCGGCGGTCGTCGAGCGGCGCAAGAACGGCCGTGGAGTCCGCCCGCCTCCGGGCTCCCCCCGCGCGGTGGTCGGAGCCGCGGGCGACGGCGGCGGGGGCCGAGCGGCGGCCGTCCGGCACAGCCTATGGGAGCGCGGGGGGCGGTTTGAAACGCCGGAGCGGAGCCGGGAGGAGGGGGGGGGGCGCGGCGGCGGCGGCGCGGCGGGGAGCCCGGAGCCGGGCCGCCCACACCGCTCCCCCTTTCGCTGAGCGGCGGCCGGGCGCTCCCGCTGCCCCTATTGTCCGCGGGGCGGGCGGCGGCGCTCCGGCTGCGCGTCTCGTTCTCCGGATAAAGGAACAAAGGCGCTGACAGAAAACAGCCGAGGAGGTCCGGCCCGAAGTGGCGGCCGCGCGGACTGCAGCTTTGGCAAACAAACGCCTGGGTGCTCGAGGTGAAGGCGTTTTCAGTGCCTTTTACAAAATAAGCGTTTATTTAAGAAACAAGAGAAATCGCGCGAAAATATTCTTTCCCATTTAGATAAGCGCTTCCTAAAGACGCCGCCCCAGCTGTGGGTGTGGGCCCTGGCCGCACCCCGCCGGCCCCGTGCTGCGCTACCGCACCGCGCGCCTCCCTGCGCAGCGGCTGCAGCGCCTCACCGAGCTCGCTTTGCTCTCCAAGTCCCGTGTTAGCTCCGGTGCCGCGAGTAACCGGGAGCGCCCGCCGCGCACAGCAGCACAGGTGAGGGAAAGCCCAGAGCAGAGCGCACACCACCAGCGCTGTGCGGGACACAAGTGCCTACTGAGGCACTCACTTTTTTTGCAGTTGTACGCTTTACACGCTATCGGCTGCCATAGTGCTCCGTGCGTGCGTCAAAGCATCGACATTCCCAAAAGGAGGCAACAATTTAATGGCCAAACACCGCTTTACAGAGGAACGCCCTACCCAAAGCCTCTGTGTGAGTTTTATGTTTGTTCTCCTTTGAAAATAAACAAATCCATATTCCAGGAAATAGCTGGAGCAAATTCCCAAGGCAGCGGCCTGAAACCAAGGGGAAAGGGCCGCGGCAAGGAGGACACAGCAGTGCGGAGCCCGGCCTGCTAAGACCTCCTGCCTGGCCTGGGCCCACCGGCACCTCTCAAGGCAACAGCCCGACACAGCCATGTCCCCATCCCCAAGCTGCCAGCATCTGGTAGCCCTGCCATTCACCTGCCCCTGCCCTCTCCCACAGTGGCCGGAGGCACCGATGCCATCAGAATTTCTCCTCCCTTTGCCTTTTGCCAAAGCCCCTCAGCTGACTCCGGCACACAAACACGCTGCAGATCTGTTCACTTGCGCACTGCTAGAAGCAACTGCTTTCAGACTTTGAAATCTATCTACGCGTGCCAAAGGAGGAATGCGACAATTTTTATGCCCACATCACATGCGTAATTGCCGGAGGAGGCAGGAAGGAAAAGGCTAAGATCACAACAGGAAGGAGGGGGAAGATTTCAAGGTGTTGAGGCACAAAAAGAAGCTTGATGAGGGAAAAGGGAGAGCAACTTGAAAAAGAGCAAGCTCACAGCCCTCTCTTATGTCTGCCCCAAGCTCCACCAAAAAGAAGGGGCAATTTTTATAGCACCTTACAGAACACAGGTCGACCAAATGCCATATATCCATACACTGAATTCAACACAGACACAGACTACTTGAACAGGCAGAGCTGCCAGTACAGAGTTCAGAACATCTGGCAGCGGATACCAGATGATTGCAGATGACCTCTTGCCAGGCTGGAAGAGGTCTGGCCCCGAAAGACTCAAGTATTTGTTTCTTTCTTTCCTTCCTTCTTTTCAATCAATCTTGTTTCCTTTTCTTCCTTCCTTTCCTTCCCTTTCTCCCCCCTGTCCTGCCTTCTCCTTTCCAGCTCCTCCTCTGCTGGTGATACCAACCCAAGAAGCCAGAAGTGCCAACTCATTCTCTTAGCACTGGTAAAATATGCACGCTTGTAGGTGCCTTCATAGACATTTTAATGAAAGCGGGTTTTGTTTCTGCAGCCATTTCAAATTCTTCTTCAGAAGCACTTTTGCATCTCTTCATTAATAAATTACTGACAAGCAAAGCTACTGCCACAATATTGATAACACCAAATCAAACTTTGGCCAAATGTTGGTTGAATAACCTAAATCATTATATAAAATGGAAGAAATCTTGACTGATTCTCTTATTTACCTTATTTCAAAAACAACAGCAAACACCTATCCATACACACACTTGCAGTGACAAACAGCAAAGCACAGACAAACATATCAATATCCATGCAGATACATGTTCTGCAGAGAACACATTCAATAAAATAGATATATACCAGGTCTCATCTGCAAGGTGTAACTTAAAAATCAAACCTTCAATAACAGCTCTGATACTGCCTTTTCAGGTCCTGAAAATGGGACATCTTCTTTGTCTTTAGAGAAAAAACTCTGAGAAATCAACAGTTGAATAACAGCAGTACTTTACTTATCTTTAAAATAACTGCCACTGAGAGATGTCTAAAAAAAGTATTGTTGCATTTTCTTGTTAAAAATAAAACTGCTTTGATCAGTACAGTTCAAGCCACAAACTTAAATTGATTCAAAGGACACAGAAGGACAATCCGATGTGTGAATCCTTATTTCTGTATCTGCTATTCTGCAAGAACAGGAAGTCTATTCTCTATGTTGATTTAATTTTTTTAAGAAACGTTTTGATCACTTAAAGATGAGGAAGAAGGAAACTACAGAACCACAGCCACTACCGAGACAACTTCCTGTGGTTTTTGTGGTATATGTGGCTCAGAAAGAAAACAACTCATAGCAGATCTTTCAAAGATCTCAGTTGTTTGTACTGCAGCATGAGGTAGTCTTGGGCAAATTAGCTATAAATATGCCTACGTGGGATCGATGATGCCAAGCAGTTGAGTTGATATGGTATGTTCTCTATTTGTAATTGCCACTTGATTTCAGCTTTTCAGGAATGAAGAAAAAAGGGGAACTGAAAATCAGAATTCACAGTGCAAACCACAAAAGAAGAAAGTATCTTTTTTCGCCTCAAGAAATAAGGAAGTGGTTTAAACAAATCATTAGGAAATCCATGTGCTTAATATTACATACAGAGTCTTTTCAAATCAAGTCCCTAGGGAAAAAACCATTAGTGTAGTAACAATGTCTATAATGACTCTTATCTTCCTCCTCCTTACACGCAGTTAAAGCTTACTTCCTAAGCTTAGAGACTAAAGCTTACTTCCTACCTTCCCCTCTAAAAGGCCATGATCCACTGCAGGTTCCTCATCTAAAAACACTGCAGATAACTGCTCACTATTACAGTGAATAGAGTCTTCCAATGCCTCACTGCCTCTCACAAAGCAGAGCTGTTAGACGAAATCCCAAACATCTTTAATTTCTCTCTCATTAATAGGTGAAAGCATACACCTCAGGTACACATCAGAGGCTGAATAGAGCCTGACAGAGAATAAACCAGACCTG